GAGAGAGAGAGAGAGAGAGAGAGAGAGAGAGAGAGAGAGAGAGAGAGAGAGAGAGAGAGAGGGAGCCTTACCTGATTCACCTGCTGGTGTTGCTTTGCTGGAGGGAAGGCGCCCTGCTCCTGAAGGCAGTGTGCTGGAGGGTTGACATATGCTTTGGCGAGGTGCTTCTTGGGGAGAGATTTGCCACATCATCCGTAGAGGGTTATGTTTGTGAGTGTGAGGTAGGAGCAGAGAAGGAAGAAGCCTGCAGCTTGAAGGAGGGTGGAAGAGCTGTGATAATTGTACACATTGAACATTATTGGAAGCTCTTCTCCGCTTCTCTGATTCTTCTCTTCCTTGTCTGTTCTCTAATCTACTGGCTGCTTAGATCCGCTGGCAATCATTGTGCTACATGAGTTCATGCATGGTGGGGGAAATGTGAGCTTTTCACGACTGGGTTCGTTACACATATAACTTGATAGGAGATTATAAGGTAAGACTGTTTCATTTTTCATCTACTCAGCTGGGCGTAAACGGGGTCATTCTGGTGACAGTGTAAAACAGACACTCCCTTGCTGAGTGGTATGTAGAGGTAGGCCTGTTTTTGTCTGAGCTGTTGTAGATAGAAAAGCTCAAAAGGACAGCCCAGAGTATGGGCTGAGAGGAGGAGTCCACGTCTACTTCAGGGATTGTTTCTTTGGGGAGGGTAGCACATAGTGTGGGAGGGGTTTGATCATCAGCTTGGGCGCATCTAACAGTCAATCCTCCTCGATTGTGAGTACCCAATGCTGTTAGAGGTTCCTCTGACCGTAAAGAGGGAAGTGTGGACCAAGTTATCATGATTTTTTTGATTGCTTGCCTGTGGGAAAGGAACCAGACTGTAGCTCCTTAGAATAGAACAAAGGCAGAACCATAACGCCCTGTTTTTCCTTTGTTTGTTTTTAAGCAATTAGCTGTGATATCTTTCACAGTCAACTCCATCGTGACTCAGGTATCCCAGGCAATACCACCCATCCTGCTGTGAATGACGGTACCTGGATAGGTCCTCACCCTTGCACTTTGCGGTTTGAGCATGTCGTACTTATGTGGTTGTTCTGCCCTTGGTCTATTGTCGGGTGGCACAGGAAATTGTGAGTTTGCAACAGTCAACCAAAATCAACTATCAGACACTTTGCAGGATAACCTGACTGATGCTCTTCCTCCCCTACCTGGAGGATCAGATGATGCTGTCCAGCCGGAAGGAACAAATGGTCCTCCACCACCTGAAGAAAAAACAAATAGTCCTCTGACGCCCAGCGACAGCAACCAGACAGGATCAGGCTCAACTACCAATGAAGAACAGGACGCCAATGACACAATACGTAGCCCGCTTGTTCCTGGAAATGCAGATCCTCCCACCCAAACTTGGCCTCAACCGCCACCCATACAGACGGAGAGAGATGTTGCATCACCACCTCCTTCCATTCTAGATGGTGCCATCTCAGGTGCTTGCATTGATGGGAGCAAATGCTGCGACATTACAACTGCCGCTGCCTGTGCCAGCTCTGAAGATCAGTCATGCGGCTGGGATACACGTTGTGAACTTATTCAAGGTGAGCATCTACCTCCTGATTTTTTGCTCACTTTGTACCAATCAGTTAAGTGAGCATCTACCTCCTGATTTTTTGCTAAGTTCCTGCCAGTCAGTTCCTCACTGTTATATATAGGGTTCAGACCAGGGCTGGTCCCCTGATGGACCGGGGACCCTTACCCCATCGCGGTCCTCCCGGTTGGGCCGGCCGGTGGCCCGGGCCGGTTCCCTCCCGGTTGCCCCCAGCGCATTTTCGCTGGGGCCTGAATTTTGTTTTTTGTCAGCGCGTATGTGCTTCCGAGGCGTTGTCGGGGTGGGCCCTGCCCCGCAATTTCGAAACCGGTTCCTGTAGGCCCGGATTTTTCAAGGCCAAAAAATGGCCAATCTTGGCCGCCGATCGTTGCAGATCAGCGGCAAAGATCGGCAAGGACCTCATTTCTTAAGAAAATCGGGCAGAGGATATCCGGCGCTGATCTTTGCAGATCAGCAGCGGAGAACCGCCACACATTTTTCTTAAGATGTGGGTCGGGTAGGCAGGCCCCTTCTCCAATTTATCATCTTGTGGTCCAACGGACCAGTTACCGTTGGAAACATTTGATGCTCTTTCACCCTCATCCACGAGGGGAACACTATGCTTGTGATGAGGCTCTGCTGAGATTATATCCTTCCGCAACGTCCCTGCCATCTGTGGAAACATCTGTGGAAAAAGTTATGGGTTCGGATTTTGGAATCGTGATGTCAGAGCCGTTCGAGGTGCAAGCCCAAGAATGGACCTAAGCTATATTCTTCTCTCGATCTAATCTCGAATGGACCTTGCTCCACTACATGTATCTGGACAGACTGCCAGGCAAGATACTTCCGGACTGATAACTCACCTTATGTAGAAACCAACCAACAGAAAACGCTCCGCCTCCACGAGCTGAAAGCTGGAACCATAACTCTTCTGCTGTCGAGTTATACTCTGGAAGAGCTATAACTTCTGGCAAGGACCTCCTCCTATTATATCTGGTACAGCTCGTGGGGTATCAATATCAAATGACACACTCCATGAAGTGCTCCAGCCACGGGGGGGTTGGATAAGTGAACTTGCTTATTTGACCTCTCCCCCCGTGGAAGCCATAGTTGCTTGAATATGTCAATAATAACCCCCTGCCCCCCTCTGGAAGCCCCTAAAAAATATTGCACCTTGAAAATTTTATTGCGGATTCCGACAGCTCTATGAGAGCGCAGTCGGAATCTGCAGAAAAAAAAAAAAAAAAAAGATATTTGGGCACTCTTTTTTCAAAACCGGTTTCCCGGTTCAACCCCACTGGCCTGGTCCAGCTCCGGTTGCACCGGGGTAGCTCAACCGGCCGGTTGCCGGCCCAGCACTGGTTCAGATTCCTGACGAGTCGGTGAAACTCCGACAAAACAGTTTGTCACAACCCATCGTTTGTTGTTCTCTTCTCCCTCTCTCGGTCATTCCCAGAGTGCAAATTCACAATGAAAGACAATGCCACCCAATTGCGAAGAAATGAAAGCACTTGCAGAGAGATAGCGACCAAAGAAGAGAGAAAGAAGAAGAAGAAGAAGAAGAAGAAGAAGATGTACACCAGCAAGACCAAGACAAATCCCCCTTCTCTCTCCACCTTCCTCCTCCTCCTTCACTTTGCCAATCTTATTCTTCTTCCCAATAATAATAATAACAATGAGTGGATGAACCAGAATCAATATCCGAAGTTCCCTCTTACTGCTGACACAACAACAGGTCCACCATAGCTATGGCTTCCCCCCTTGTTCCTCCTTTCACATGCCTAGGCTATGGCGGACTACTAAGAGCTCTGCCCTCCTGTCCAAAAGACAACACAAAACAGCTATGTCACTGCTCCTCATGCCGCCATGCCTGACTCTGCCTCGAGCTTCCTTGGTGCGGCACTACCCCAACCGGGGCCTTCCAGATGTGGCGCCTAACAAGGTGATGAAGATGGTGTCCACCATAGCCACGTAGGTACCTTGCCACTCTCATTCTTCGCCCCCTTCTTCCTCCTCCTCAGGCTGGGCTGCTCGCCATAGCCAAGCTGAGCGCCCAGCTGCTCTCCTCCTCCAGGCAGCGCTCTAAGTCCAGCGCTTGGCTCCAGCAGTATGTTGCCAATCCTTGCACACTGCAAATGAGGAGGAGCTGCTTGCTCCTCCCGAAGATATAGCGGTCTACTGGCCTCTTGGGCGGTGACTTCGTAGGCCGAGGGCCTCCCAGCAACCTGCACCTCCTCCCTTTCAGAGGGAAACGTCATTGCCGGCTCTGATATCGTCCGGACAGGCCCTAGACTCAGGCTACTTGGACTGGTACTGGCCTACCTCTAACCTACCGCTACTGGGCCTCTAAAAATGCCAACTTTTTGTCTTCCTCTGCTCGGCCTCCAGCACCCGACACTTCTACCACTACTTGAGTGGTACCGGCCTACCTGCTACTTGAGTGTTTTTCCCGCTGCTCTAAGTGTTGCGGGCCTACCCCCGCTACTTGAGTGTTTTTCCTCGCTGCAACCCTCAAAGTCACAGCCACAGGTAAGTACCGGACCTGCGGGGCCTTTCAACCAACAAGTACCCTTGCGGGTCACACACACACTCAGGCCAACAAGTACTCAGACAGGGACGCAGACCAGCAGGCACACACACATACACACAGACTCAGAAATCACAGCAGAATCTGGGAATCTCAACAAGGCATACATTCTAGCGGCAGTCTGTGTTTTGGCAGGTCATTACAGTTGCCATTATCAGTAGTCCAGAAGGGGCTTGTTTTGGGTTTCTGTCTTCTTTGCTGGGGTATGTGGCATTCTATCCGCACTGAACTGACACCCAACTGCAAAGCAAAGAAAGACCATTCTTTTCGGTTTCTAGTATTGGTCTTGGGGTGCTTGCATCTGCTGCTTATTTTTTTAATGTTGGTTTTTTTCCTTCCTTCATATGCATACAGTAATGTATGAAGAAAATGAAGTGCACTGCGCATGTATGCACCACCACTGTGGCTTCGTGTCAATCTGTAGCAGTAACGTGCATATGAATGTTTATTTTCCCAAATTCCATCCCCCACTGCAATGAACTCAGTTCAAATCCACACAGCCATGAGTCAGGGTCATAAGTCAAGATTCAGGGGTCAAAAGTCGGGTCTCTAGCTTCAGAAAGGTCTGAGAAAAGTCCTAGGGTCAAAGGGTATAGGGTCCAGACTCCAGAGTCAAATAAGGTGCAATGAACCCAGATCGTGAAGACACTTGTCAACAATGCAAGCCCAGAATATCAAGCTGCCAATGAGTACCAATAGTCAAAATCGTGTCCGGACAGAATGAGATGAGATAATCATACACAGACGAAGGAGAGAGGAGGGAGATTAGACAAAGGAGAGGAATAAAGTACAAGGCCCACTCCTGCTTCGGGCTCCCTCCTCGATCACCACCTCGAGTAATCAATAGTCTGAACGCATATTCGAAGTCCTACTACAATGTGCCATGTGGCACATCAATAAGTCCTCATCAGTGCACTTGGAGCAATGTCGACCTCAAGATAATAAGGTACGTATCCACGATTACCCCTCAGTCATGATCTCCTCCTGAGTGACGATGAATCAGAACAGCAGTGCCGGTCAATTGTCCCAGCCAATTAGAAGATAGACCACGTGGCAGCGGCCATGTCAGCAACAACGCGTGGCAGCTGCCACATCAGCATGCCTTGAAGACAATAGCCAGCCAGCCACCATGCCGAAACAGCAACGCGTCGCCGCAATCTCCCAAATGCGAGCACAAAGCCAGCGTCCACCAGCGTCGCAGTGTCGAGCCAGCGTCGCATCGTCAACGCGTGAAGTCAGCATTGACGCAAGACTGGATGAATGTCAAAGCGAGGAAAGTCAGCGCTTATGTAGCGTTGACTCGGAGTCTGGCCCTGGATGCTACCACCCTCAGCCGTCCAGATCTCGATGCAAAGTAGGGCCCAGATTGGTCTGAAACCGACTTCCCTCCGGCCTGGATGCTTGTCTGGGTACCTGCGCATCCAGCCAAGGGTCTGGGTGCGGTACCTTTGACTCTACAGTTGACTTTGACCTTTGAATTTTCTGTGTGCAGCGTTAGGTCACACAGCCAAACGCGGCAGACTCAGGCCTGGGCGTGCCTTGGTCACACAGGCCAGTGCAGACCAACTCATGTCTGCGTTGCCTGGGGCTGAGTTCTGGGGCTCAACACTATAAAGGAGAAGCCAGGTCCAGCAGCTGATTCATTCTGCCTTGCACATTCTAGCGGCCAGACTGCTGCTGGGCGAGGTGAGAAGTGAGGAGAGGTTGGCGCCAGACAGATGAGGAGAGCTAGCCATGGCTGGGAAGGGCGCTCTGGCGCCATTGCTGTAGGGAGGAGATGGAGAAAAGGAAGAGGGCGATTGGGACTGTGTGTGGATGAGGATTGTGTGTGTGGGAAGCTGACCTCGACTTAAGAAGGCTGCACCAACTTCCATAGCCAGTGTTGATGCTGGAGGTTGGGTACCATAGCTGGTACCTGTGGAAGAACTTCATCAGTGACTTTCAAGGGGAGACACCATACTTGCGGTGCATCGACGTGCGCTGCACCGTGCACACGCGCCGCACTGCGCATGACGCGCGCGCATGGGGTGCGGCGCACCCCGAAAATAAGGGGTCGAGAAAAAAAAAAAAAGTTGGGGAGGGGTGTTTTAGACTCGAGTGGGATGTTGCATCAGAAACCACAAAAAATATTAACAAAAATTTGAGGCCGCGCAAAGCTTCCAAAAAAAAAAGGGGGGGAAGTTCATTTTTCTGTTTGTGTGTGTGTGTGTGTGTGTGTGTGTGTGTGTGTGTGTGTGTGTGTGTGTG